TGGGGCTCAAAGGGTCAACGGTTTACTGCGATTACAATTGTTAAAGATCAAGACTCTTGAGCGGGTTTTTACGAAAAAACCCGACATTAAAAGACGAACCAATAAGATGTTGTTATATTTGAAAATAGCACTTTGGTTGATGAATACAACAATCGAGTCAGTAGAGAACCGCAACAGAAACACAGAAGCTGACATTATGAATTCGCCCACAATTTATCGCAAATAACAAAATATTAGAAAAATAAATTTTATATATCATAATGCGAGTTTGAAATTGTAAGTTCAGAGCCTTGAGTATCATCACGGCCTCGGCGGATAACACCCTCCGAGATCTCCATAATTCTTATGATACGAAACCCAAATTCAGTAATTGTTTTATAATTCATTCAAAATAATTCCTAGTTTTAAAACATAGCTGAAACATGCTTACCTCCACCGATGTTAAGTTCATCTTCGATAGTGCACGTTTAGGGTAGTTCAGCTCGCAAATATTCTCCAAATAGCAGATATCACCGTTCCAGTTGTCTTCTTGCTGTTCTTCCCATATTTTTAGCTATTATTTTGCTTAGTTCTTACTCTTGAAACGAGTGAAATTTCCTCCATTTTTATTTTCACAACCAAAACAACTCAACCTCGTCCCCAGGTCTTCTCGGTTAACGGTGCATTAACCTGCAGCCGTGTCGCACTTTTGACGTCATCGGTTGATTAATCGCAAAATTCTTCCAAATTTGTTCATTTGAAGGTGGTTGTGGTGAATTGTGCGTGTGCTTTTAGCCAATCAGGAACGGAGAAATATTTTGAAATAATAATTTTTATTAAGCGGACACCTCTACTGATTAAGTGGTCACCATTTAATGTCCCTCACAGGGAGCAAAGGTGACGCAGTGGTGGCAGCACCGCCTCCAACCATTGTGGCCCGGTTGGAATCCTGTTGCACCGTACACGACATAACTGGGTTGAGTTTGTTGTTGGTTCTCTCCCTTCCTCCGAAATGGTTTTCTTCGGGTAGTCCAATACTTCCCCTTTCCTTTAAAAAGCCAACACTTAAGGGGCGGATCTAGGTGCAGGGGGTGCGCACCCCCCCTCCCCTCCCCGAGATGACCTGCGGATTTCTAATACAACTGGTATTCTGCAAAAAAAAAAACTATGTGGTTTATTGGTGTTGAAGTAGAGCAAGAGACGAGTGCTCCCCCTCCTAAAAAAAATCCTGGATCCGCCCCTGCACTTTCAAATGCCAATTCGATCTGGAACGCACGGACACGTTTCAACGAGTTCATAAGAACTCCTAAGTGCTTCGTGGGTAAACAAAAAACAAACAAACATGAAACAAACAAATTACAATGTCTGTTTATAGAGGTTTCACTGATTTACTGGCCAAGATGGTACTTTATGTACTTCTATAAAAGTGCATTATATTTGCATTTTCGTATTTGCTAATAGAGACCTGAAGATTGGGAGCCTAGGACGAGAATCAGTTTAAAGTTTTTTCGCGTATTCTCAAAAACTAGACACCCTAGAAGGTTTCATTGTCCTTTTCTTGACCAGAAAAGTTATTAAAGCATGTTTTATTTTTTATTGAAGGAGGTTAAGCCGTCTCCCGATGGCAAAATGATAAAACGCCTAGCATTTGACAACTTGTTTCTGCCACTACGACACTCGCTAAAGCCGTAGTAGAATGACGACGGCTATCACGTTTTCCCGCCAAAATGACACTGGTTCACGCACGCACACTATTTAGTACTGAGAAAGGGCCTGTTTACATGGAGGTGGGGGACCCCAGGTAGGTGAGGTAACCCGCTTAGGTGAGGTAAAAAAATAACCCGCCTTTACATGCAATCTTACAACCCCGCCTTCCCGGGGTGCACTTTCTCAAGATTATTGAATGGTCGCTAAGCACCTAAACAAGAAAAATGCTGGCTAACCACGAGTTTTGGCGATTAATGCACTTTTTCACTCACTTGTTGCTCTTGCTGCAACCCGTCAGTGCAATAGCTTTCTATTGTTAACTTTAATCATAATGTAAAGACACCGCGAAAGTTAATTTTGCGCGAATTTGATGTATCACGAATCCGACCCCGGCCAGGCGGGTTACCCCACCTTGAAACGTTTACATGACAAATTGTGACCCCGGCTGAGAGGGTAACCCGGTCTGGTAGACCGGGCTACCCGCCATGGCGGGTCACCCCACCTATCATGTAAACGTGATCAAATGAAAATGAGAGATTATATGGACAGGCGGGTTACCTCACCTAAGCGGGTTACCTCACCTACCTGGGGTCCCCCACCTCCATGTAAACAGGCCCTGAGAAAATCTCGTACTCATGGTCGCCCTCGTCTTACAATCTTAAGGTCTCTAATTATATCATTTGTGACAACAATGGCACTGAATACTTAGCTCTAGGAAATTTGGATCTTCATTGCAATAAATATAATACACTGCATTGCAATGCAATAAAATATTTTTATTTAACCATGTAGACCCCAAAGTTATGAGTATTTTCAGTCATAGGTCATATAAATTGTAGCAGTTATCAAATTTATAAATACAATGCCAACTGTTTCAGAAAATAAGAAATATCTTCTTAAGCCGTTAAATCTGTACATTAAATTACTTGGTCACACACCAAACACTATTCTACAAAAATATGCCTCTGTAAAATCCCAGAGGGGATGTTACTAAAACGGGGAACGGGTAACGGATAGCGAAGAGCGAGCAAAGGGGGCAGAAAAATAAAAAGTGGGAACAAATCCGGCCAAACGTTCCTCGTGCTCTTCGTATTCCGCTCTCCGTTTTAGTAACATCCCCTCTGTAAATGGAAATTTCATTATAAATACACCTAAGCGAAATTGAGTGATGAACCTCTTAGAAACCACTATTTATCATTGGCTCTTGAAAACACTCAGGCTATTATTTTGGGGGCTAGAGACATTGTTGGTTCATCAATCTGTTATTTTGTTAGCAAATTTTATAGGCAACTCGTTCTGAGAGATAAGAAGCAACCGTGATGGAAGTACGAATTATAAAGAGTTGATGAATAATTTTACACTTCCTTCGCTCCTCAAATAAATAACACATTTCGCTTGTTTCAAGCGTTACGATAAATTGAGAGTTACGTGAATAAAAACAGAGATAAGAGCAAGAAGAGAGGAAAAATTGGTACGCAATCCACTCAAACCTAATTCCCCGAAAGAGCACCGCCCCGAATACGCACCACATACACTTCATTCTAAAGTTACGCCAATGGTAATTATATATTTATTTATCATTTATTTATTTTGCTTTGATTTCATCTGCAACAGATCTCCATTTAAATTTGCACTTCTGCTTTAAATCTGTACTTTCAAATGTCATCATGTTTTATGGAATATTCTGTATATAGTCCAATCAGAATAGTCGGTTTATTGATTTGATTTGATTTGATTTGCGTTGATTTCATCTGTGTGCAAAACTTTTACTTTAAAACAAGACATCGACGATCATTTGTCATGAAGACCACGGAAAACTTAACTTGCCAACATTTTGGAATGAAACGCATTCAGTAGCAAAAGCGTAATAAGCAAGTCCCCGCATAAGCAAGTACCTTCAAGCGACAATGTGGCGCTTTTTAATTTGTTTTTTAGACATTGTTATTATTGCAGTTACTATTGTTTATTCGAATGTCGAAGTGGACATAGACCTTCATGGCTAACATTTCCGGATCATAATGATTACCCAGCGAGCAGAGGTGTCTCTCTTGCATGGCATTTAGCACTAACAAAGTTGTTCGCGTGGCTCGTCTGTCGCGTAGTTGGGGCGTATAAAACAAACCAACTACGCAACTGATAAGCCACACGAACGACTTCGTAAACGCTAAAAGCCATGCAAGAGGAAAACTGCTCGCAGGGCACACAATGATGTCCATGTTCTACATTCTTTCTGTGCTATTGATGTCGCTTTTTAATTAAACAAAGAAAAAGAGTAAAAAATGCATCACAATGTGCAAATTTCAGGAAATAAGCGCCTCCCTCGAATAAGGTCACAGAAAAGCTATGGAAAATTTGATTATACCGTACAATTTTCAACGACCCAAAAGCAAGGAGGTTTTGGTAGACGGGGGGATTCTGGGAGATTTTCCTCGCGCCGCCTTCCATTATGGTTCATGGCATTTCCAAAGGAAAGCCAAACTCGTTCCCAGCGTCCTCTCCTACTCGTCCCCAGGAGCGAGAAAGTGGGTCGAGTAGGAGAGGATCCTGGGAACGAGGTTGTAGGTAAGCAAAACTGGTTGCACTTGTTTAATAAATACAGTTATTACTATAATGTAATTAATATATTAAATGCGACGTTTTTCTCAGCCGATTATAATTGCATTTGCAGAGAGATAGCTGCATGTTTGTCTGCGTATTGAATGAGTAAGCGCTGTTTTTGTATATTACACCATTTACTGTCAAAGCTATTTTCACTTTTCACTTCGATAGACCGAGACAAGGATGCTAACGGGGAAAAAATGAACGAAAATTTGTGCACCAACCGAAGTGAAAAAAACTTTGATAGTTCATTGGGAAAGAAATACGTCAACCGAAAACAGATTAACAATTGCTGAGCACAACATTCTATGGTTCAAAAGGAGAAAAAAGGCTTATTCAATAGGAAATTACGAAGAAGGGAAGCCAATTTTTTAGGCAAAGAAGTAATATCATGTTTTGCACTGATGTATAGAGATAGACTAGGGTTGGTAAGCACTGACTTAAAATGATTAGCTTTCATATATACTGTTTCGGAAACTCCTTATGATAGAAAAACTATATAATAACGGCATTTGGTACTGATGATTGCTCCTTTAGTGTAGTGGTTATGATAGGTAGTATACCGGTTCAAAGCTTCCTTGATTATCAGAGATCTTAGAAAAGGTTTTCCTTTTATTCTTGTTAAGTGAATGTTGGACAAATGTTAAGACTGTTTGAACGGGCTGGCGCACTCACATTCTACCAATTGACCAATTCCCAAAACTCATTGCGCACGTTTAGTCGTCATCCTCGCCTTCTTCTTCCTCTTCTACAGATATCCCGTGATGCTTCATGAGCGCCTTCATCATGGCCTCCAGTTGGGTGGTATGATCTAATACAGCTTTGAGTTTTGATTTTAGGGTCATTACTTCGTCTTTTAAAGCCTCCTGATGATTCTGTAGCTTTTCAATTGGAGTCTGATAAAAATATATAGATAAATAAATAATAAAAAAAAAACGTTGACAGACGTTCCTGAAAGGTGTTTTCTTTTGTATAGCAATGCCTTGTAATCCAAAGTAAATTGAAATACTAGCAAAGAGAAGGGCGATACTAAGCTATACAAGGCCTCAAGGATTGGCTTAGAAAACAATAAAAAACAGTAACAATGGACTATTGCCGTAAAAATACATAAAGAGGCTGTGTCACGGCTACCTGGTTCATTTTGTTAATGATAGAGACTTAACCATCAGGTTTTTCATGGTTAACGGAAAACTTGAGAAGATCACGTGACCACAGTCTTGAAAGGCAGCAAGAGCTTCCAGCGGGAAGCGATTTTTGGCAAAAAATTTGTACAGCCTCACGTTTAAAGGCAAAAGATAGGTTCCTACACCCGCTTGTGATGTGCTAGTTAGATGTTTGAACTCAAATCAATGAATTCTTGATATTTTTCAGGCGATTAAAGTGAAGCACCCCGACTTGACGAAAAACAACGTAGTGCCACCAAACAACGAACACTTGGTTAAAATTCGAAGTACTGTCAACGTGAAACTGCAAACGCGTAACCGCAAACTGCCGTTCGCGGTTTGCAGTTTCCAAAGAAAAACCTATGCTAAAGGTCTCTAATGCCATTTACGCTTCCTAACCGCAACTGATATAGCTCCCGGGGTCATTATTGCACGCCAGCCGCACTATCACTACCATATCAGAGGAAATAAAGCGTATAATCGCTAACCTTTTCTGGGTTCATTGCCTCGTTAATTGCTCTTGCAGGACTGACATTCTGGTTCCAAAATGACCATATTGTCCAGTATCTGTTAGCATTTGGATAAACTACTTCTTGAGTTGTGGCAAACCGTTGTCTCAGCATTGCAGGAAGGGCTTTCTCTACATCTAAAGCAAGGTCAACCTACACAAAAATGGGACACTTACTTCTTAAAACCAACCTGATTACAGGATAAAATTCCCCCAGAAATAATCAAACAGCTCTATCTGCGTTGTGTGTCAGTAGCACATAACGCCGACAACAATATGGATTGATTTAAATAATTCATATGTAGACATATGTGTACACGGAAAACTAATTTTCAAGAAAACAATTTGCCTTAGATGAATTCCAGGGAGCAATTGTGGTATAGGCAACTGGAAATTCGTGTTAAAGTAAGGTGACAATGTTTTTAGTCATTAGTCTATCAGTAATACTTGAAAACTAGCGATTTCATTCTACACTTGTTTTCTCTGGGCAGGGCTAACGCACAACGTTCCGTCAAAGCACCAAAGGTGAAACCGTCAATGTCTAAAACCTTATAAAATAAAACCAAAACCTAGTGAAAAGATACAATTGGCAGAAAAAAAAAATTGCCTGAAATTCAGTAACCGAAAAACTAAAATTTAACCCCAGAATGCGAGAAACCTTTTGACACAGAACTAAAATTTAACATTTTTTCCAGAGAAGCATGCCCTCGGACCCTCTAGATTCTTCCGCTAGAAGAGAACCCATTACACAAAAATTAACAGGCCATTTTACCTTAAGAGGGCAAAAATATGACTGTTCCTCAAGGGTGAAAAGGTATCTTTAATTGTCAAAGAGGAAAAGAAAAAATAGTTTCACATTTATCCAACCTCCCCCTCAGTTACTGTGTGTTGCATTGACAAACCTGCATGGCCAGTCTTTTGAGCACTGCTTTCTCTTGCACAACTTTGATATCGTCTACAGCCAGACCAACCTATGGTTAACAATTAAAAACGCCCAGATTTGGTGGCTACTTATTGGAGATAACCGCCTATGAGAGGTTCTGACTATAGAGCTTTCACTGGAACAACTGATTTCCGGGATTCGGGATTCGGGTTTTTAAAGCAAAATGGGGCGATATTCGGGTTGCAAGTATTCACAGTATGGAGGATAGCAATAATAACCATCGGGGGATTACGGGATTTAGCTACAATTTGGGTTAGGATAACGGGACTGACGAACCCTATAAGGCAATCTCCGATTAGACTATTCTGAATGGGCGTCGTTTACGCGGAAAGGTCACTCACAAGAAGAAAGCACGGACCAAGGTTCAACTCTTGTACTTTAAAAATAGGGAATAAGCCATTTCAATCAACTTTAATTGGAAACAAACGCAAAAGAATGAGTTTTTTTAAAAAAAAAAACAAATGCTATCATTTTAGGGAAGAACATCACTCCATTTTAAGGTACTTTTCCAACAGCACTGTATTTGTCTGTACCAAACTAGGATGACGAGTTTCGCATCACGTGATTACACTTCCCTTTTGCACTCAATCTCGCAAGAAATGGGCCATTACCGACTTGCCCCAGCCTCTGTTTCAAAGCGAGGCCAAGTGTGAAGCCATTAAAACGAAAATATTTTGTTATTATCAAGCAACAGACCTCTTTAGTTTGTATGTTTTGTTTTCTCAATACAGACCTGTCATAATACTCTAGCATACAAGCTAAAGAGGACTATTGAAACTCACTTTCACGAGAAAGGTTTTGCACTTTGGGAGAATTTTTGGAATTTGGAAATGGTCTTTTCACCGTACAATTTGCAACTCGTATCATCTAGATCGTCTCCTTCTTTCCCGACAGTCACTTACCAATAAATTCATAATGATAATGCAGTTGGTGACGAGGAAGGCTACGTACAGTATCCACGTGACCGGGGGTACCACGTTTTCATTGTATACTGTATCGTATTCATATTCTCCCAGCATTCCCATTGTTGTCTTTAGCATGGCTCTGCCAGGAGTGGAGTACGGGACCTACAGATGGAAAACGAGCATCTTTCAGTCGGATCAATTGAGGTTTTTGGATGACTGATTACCTACCCCTCCCCTAAGTCAAAATTAACACTTACTTCCCCCTCAGGGCAAAATTGTGACTTAAGGGAAGGGTTACTCTGTGACGAACACAGGCTTGGGACATGCTCAAGCCGCTTCGGTCGATCACTTATGCGATATGTGACATGTGACTGATGGGTGATTTTGGGAATCCTGCTTTATAAAGGGGTATTCACATTCGAGACTTCCAAGCAAAGGGTGCAATATATCTTAAAGGCGCAAAAGATTCGAAGTTGTAGTAAAATGTTTCCAGGAATAGAAATCAAATGTTGCGTATTTTAAGGACAGGGCCTAGTTGTTCGAAACCTGGGTAACGCTAGCTTTCTACTGGATAAATCTTTATCAGTACAGAACTTATCCGCTGGATAGTTATTTATCTGGCGCCTGCTGCTCCAAAGGAGGATAGCGCTATCCACTGGATAAATCACTATCCACTGGAAAGGGCAACTAATTTCCCCAATACTTAACCGCTGAATAGCCTTTTATTCGGTATAGAGCTATTTATTTTTTGAACAACCGCGGCCTGCTAGATAGCGCTATCCAACGTTTAAACAAACGGAGCCAGGGGTATTATTTTGAACACTAACACAAATGTGCATGTGGAGTTCTGGCGGGCGTGCATTCTCATTCAAACCTTCCCTAGTCCCTAGGCCTCATTGTTCCGCACGCCCAAATCGTTTCGGGTCACGTGGTCCAGGCGAAAATATGAGCTTTCGCCTCGGATACCTCACCGAAATTAATTGACCGAGAGGGACTGGGAAAACGCCGTGCAGGCACTAGGCAGATTCAAACGTACCCAAGGAGTCTGTTCCTAGGAAGGGATCGAAGAATATTTGTTCCTTAACTCTTCAAAAACTGTTGTGTTCAGCATGTGCTATTAATATTTCATTAGACAATCAAAGAACCGCTGTAACTTCTATTCCATAATATAACGAAAGCAGATGGACAGTTTACCTTATTGTATAGTAAAGTATGAAATCCTTAGCCAAAGGCCTCAATAAACAGGAAACAGACTACAAAGAACTGAGCGAAAGTCTTGAATATATCTGTGAACATCACCACATAAATTCCAAGCGTGGGAAATTTGCGCATGACAAGAACAAGGCCAATCCAGGACAGGTAGACCGCGGTCGAACCTACATCGTTATGATAAACTTCAAGCACCTAGAAATGTAATCAAAAATATATGTTTATGTTCATAGGCGCTATTTCACGCTCTTTGCTGCCTTTTCAAAAAGTTAAAAACTTTTTCGCTTCAATTTAAGGACGTTTCCCACTAATGGGAAGTATTTTTCCCAGATAATGACTATGTGAGACAAGTAGATCATATCAGGGGCTATTGAAATCCAATAAGAAAACTGGGGGTAACCACGCATTTTTCAGAAATAACTGCGCTTCAATATGGAGAAAAACACTGAATAGGCATTTCTTAGAAAAATGATATAAAGGTAATTTGTCCAAAAATTTCAGAGTGTACAAGTGAACTGGCACAAATGCAATTATAATTGTAACAAGGTTTCAAAATATGCAACAAATTATAACATAACTGCTCTTTAAACGTCTGTTTTTTTTAAATTTCAGTACAACTGGGAAGTTATCAGCAGTTACCCCTCTCCACGCGTTTGCTTAAAAATAGTGTAAAAGACATTTTCCCCGAACCAAAAATTAATCGTTTGCTGAGTAGGCAGTCTACTTTCATTTGGCAAGATAAAATGTAGGGGTTACCACGCGTTTTATCATTTACGACTATATTTACGCACTGAAACTGTTTCCTGTCGTCTGTTTCTACGGATAGCAAGGATGGATATGGGGAAGAGCCATCTCTTGACATGGATTGAAACTTGACTGAAAACGTTGGGTAAATTTGTTACATATCTTCTTCATAACACTACAGGAGCATTTCGTATTTGGGTTAACGTACTAAGTGATGATTTCAGTGATGACCCCAAAACGGCACAGTAGTCCAGCCAATCTAGGCATTTTTTAGGCTCAACATCAAACTAATTGCAACATAATTGTTTTTTTAAGTAAGGGTTACCTATCTAGCAACATACTAAAAGTCCGCCATCGTTCGGTGCAACATGTCAAAATTAAGCGTTAAACTTTTTTGAGCTTTTAACTCAGGGGACCCACGTTAGTAGAAATTATAAAGTCCAACAAAAAATGCACAAAATTTGTTTGCTACTTTTATGGAAAAGTGAATGAAGAAAGAATAACTGTTTCCTAGTTTTGGGTGATAAAAACATTCAAAACGAAGAGTTTCTCTTTTTCCTTTTATGGAAAAGTGAATGAAGTAAGAATAACTGTTTCCTAGTTTTGGGTGATAAAAACATTCAAAACGAAGAGTTTCTCTTTTTCAAACAAAATAGATATTAAACACGGTTGGCTTTTGCACAGGAAGCCCATGCTCCACTCACGGAACCCCAAAATAACAGGAGGCTTACAGAGTAATAGAGTGAGCTGTTGGCTGTAAAACTACAACAAATTTAGTCGTAAGGCTTTAAACCTGAAAAATGAAAGCCGTTACTTAATCATTAGCTTTTAAAAAATATCCTTTTTTAACAGATTTGTTTTAGCCACAAGGGTAAGAAAAATTTATATATATTAGAGCTGGACTTTTTTTAATAACCTTACAGCCAAAATAGACCTCTCCCCTCAAGCAGTCTTTTTCAATGAAAAACTCCAAAGAAGTCAACATAAAAACTAGGAGTGCAGCCACTGCTTTTTTTCTTCTCCTCCTTTCTTTCTCCTCGCTCTTTCTATTTTTCCTTTCCTCGTTCTTTTCTAGCAGGATTTTCGGGCTTATTTTGCCTTAGGCTGTTGGACTTTTTCTCAATCAAAAGACTGCAATTTTCGTTCGGTATGAGTTCAAATATCCAGCAAGATAATGCTTTGGCTTTTACGGTTACCGATACATTACCTCTCGTTAAGGTATCGGCATACTCAAATATACAAGTTTCAATTTTTTGAAGCTCTTTGTTTTTTTCTTGTTAAAAGTTAGTTGGAGAAGTGGGGAGGATAGTTTTACTAATTCTTTACCATGCACAACAGTGCAAAGTTTTTGAACAGGTTAAGCTCCGATGCCTATGAATTTGATAAGAGGGAAATGCGTTTTCATTTAAGGAAAAGTGTTGTTACCTTCGCAAAAAAAAAAATTATAGGGGTTAACGGAACTTTCATAGCATAAGAACTTTGGTTCCAGCAAACGTTTGTTTGAAGAAAACGAAATAGTATAATAGGGGAGCTTGCCTTTAAGGAAAAGATTAACTCTGGGTAGCCAAAACGATGCGTATGTAAAAATATCTTGTAAGAGTCTATGGAGTAATGGAAATTCCCCACCCAGAGCATAATTCACGCAACTCAGTCAGAAGGTTAACATGCACTAAGTTGAAGTGTTACACAACGCTCATCCGAAGACAAAGATTGGTTCCGTAAAAAGTACCCCATCAGAAGCTAAGTCAGGCAAGCCCATTAATGTCATACATATGTCCAGTTCTTTTGCTCCTTCATTGACAACTGCAATTATTTTCAGACGTATAGGATTCCATGATCGTTATAGAAAAAGAGGTCTTCATTTGCCAGTTGACAAAAAAAAAACTGGTCAAGGTTCAGGGTTTCTCTCACAAAGGAAATGCAAGGAGGGAATATAAACGCCTTTAGACCACAGAGCGATTAATCTACTTACTCATCTTACCAAGAAATGAAGGACTTTCGCAGAAAATACATGACTCAATACAGAGATACACTATACTAAATCTGAGACTCGCTACGAGAAGAAGATAAAAAAAAACAATCATACTGCGTTTTGGTTTTCCCTTACAACAGAATGAAAAGCGCAGAGCGTTACGATCTAGCAAAAACCAAATCGACGGAGTCCTTAGCAGAATATTTATTCACCCGCATTTTTAAGCACGGAGTCATAATCCGGCTAAACGAGGTTGCGCATGTCACGACCCTGATTTCGATCACTGATATTGTGTCCAAGGTTTGAACATAACTACCTCACAAAACTCGATTACAGGAAATGGGAATAGGTTAAACAGTTTGTACTGATACAGAGCTATCGTCCGTTGGACACATTTAGTCGCACGTATCTTGCAGCATGGATGCAAATTTAGTAGTTAAAAGAAGGTAATCAAAATAACTGTTCACCGTCAGTCAGCTACTAAATTTGCATCCGTGCTGCAGGATATAAAAAAATTACCAGCGCGTGATACTGCCAAAATACGTACTGCATTTCTGATGTTGCGCAAAAAAAAAACAATTACTAATATTTTTATTTACTATGTTAACACAGACTGACTAACAATTTCCTTTTTAAATACCGTCATAGAAAAAAAATTAAAGCATGGAAAACAGAATGTGAAGACAGACGAGTGGCTGGGTAACCTGTGCGAAGCCCTCAAGATGAAACATTGACCCAGGTGTTCCTCACACATTTAGTGTGCGTTTTTTAAAAACAAAACTACCCAAAATGCATTAGCGATGTTGTATCGAAAATTGTTGAGGGAAAAAAAAAAACAATTATCAGATGTTTTGTCTGAATTTGTGATCTTCCTGACATTGGGTTTCCTGTGGTAAAAGTTGAAAATCTTTATTTCCAATTTTTCTCATCTTTCACTGAACCAATTTTGGCGGATTTTTAGTATGTTGATAGCAATCCAACAATTAAACGGCATTGAAAAAAGTTCTGTTGCAATTAGTTTGATGCTAAACCACAATTTGACTGGATTATATCTATTTATTATGCTTTTACTTCTCCTTGCTGTAATTTATCTCGCGTGGCAAAATAATGTAAAAATAAAAATAATGAAATGAACAGACAACCCAAAATAAGAACTAAATTGATTGTAATCGCGCTAAGGATGTTGAATTTGTGTACCGTCTTTAACACA